GTTGTACTCCTCTCACCAACTATAAGAGAGACACACCGGGGAGATTCGCCCGGCGGGAGGCTCGTAAAGCGCGAACAACTTGGATAAGTAGGTAAATTCGCGATTTACTGCTTTCTCAGAAAGTCCATTCTATCGATGCCCTCGGCCGATCCCGCAATAATCGGACGTCTTACGTGTCCCATAAGCGCGATAAGATCGTTTTGCGAGTCGTGGAGAGGCAAGGGGAAGAAGGTTGCGGAGGCTAGGCGCGTGAGAAGATGCAGCACGCGGAAGCAGACGGGAGAAACAAGAAAGAGACAGATAGACATATAGAATGAGAGAGAAAGAGAGAGAAAGAGAAAGAGAAAGAGAGAGAGGGAGAAAGAGAAATATATATATATATATTGAGGAAGAGAGAAAGAGAGAGAGAGAGAGAGAGAGAGAGAGAGAATGAGAGAGATAGTGTATAAGTGAGTAAGAGAGATAGATAGATAGATAGAGAGAAAGAGAGAGAAGGAAAGACTGTACGTGTCACGAAGGAACCTAAATACTTGGTCGTCCGTTAGGCGTGCGCAGTCCTCTTCTACGTGGCGTGTAAACACGCTTCCCCGTGCAAAGACGCACGCGTGGAGTAGGTGAGATAAAACGCAGGGTCGCCACGTTCGTAGCGGGGTCACGACACCTTCGTTGCGTTTGCAATGGCGCACGGAACTACTTCTTCGCACCTGTACCTACTCCTCTCTCGCGATATATACTTACTTCTCTCTCTCTCTCTCTCTCTCTCTCTCTCTCCCTCTCTTTCTCTCTTGTTCTATCTATCTATCTTTCTCTCTCCTTTTCTTTCTTCTCTCTCGTTTCTTCTCTTCGTCTTCTCCGAAAGCTCTTCTTCGACTATGCCTGTTTGAGTTCTCTCGAGCTAGCTTAACACGGCCCAGTGACCCGTATAACCTATGCTCTGCTTATGATCGAAGAGATTTCAGTGTATCTCTCTGCCCTGGTGTATCTTTCCCTTTAACGGGATGCCTCTCGCGCTCTCAAACGATTCGCTTCCTTCTACAAGACCTTCCTACGAAGGTCTTTCTTCTTCTTCTTCTTCTTCTTCTTCTTCTTCTTCTACCACCACTACTACTACTACTACTACTACTACTACTACTACTACTACTACTACTACTCTTTCTTCTATTTCTACTTCTATTTCTTCTTCATTTTCTTATTCTTATTCTTGTTCTTCTTATTCTACTTCTTACTCTTCTTATTCCTCGTCGAGTATCTCTCCCCCTCTTTTTCTATTCCGCTTTCCTTCTTACTCTTCTTCTCTGATAGCTTCTATGCCAACGGAACGATCGGTGGTAACGATACAAACGGTGATTTGATAGCGATCGAGCGTGATGACGTTAGGTAGGAGAATCTACGACATAACTATGTAAAGATAGACAAGAGTTATTATAGTTATATGTATGTATATATATATATATATATATATATATATATATATGAATTCGAATCGTTAAATAATAACATTATTATAGTTATATATATATATATATATATATGACTTGTTATAGTTATACGTATATATGCATTCAAAATTGGAAAATAATAATTATTAATTTAGATATTAATTAATTTGGATATTATTGATAGATTTTTTATGATTACGTTTATGCACAATTTTTTTTCTTTTTTTTTTCAATTTTTAATTATATACATTATATTGATCGAGCAAATTGTACTGAAACAAAACGTACGTGGCCAACTGTTTTAATAATAATAATAATAATAATAATAATAATAATAATAATAATAACAGAGTCTTTTCGCTTTGACGTTTTTATAATGTCGAAGTAAAAAAAAAAGAAAGAAAAAAGAAATTAAATTTGCAAATCCGTTCAAAAGAATTATCATGCATGTGCTTTGAAATTTCTATGTGAAAAAAGAGAAAAAGAAAAAAAGAAAATTAGTAACGTTAATATGAATCTCGATGAATTCTCTATGGTCACGTTTATTCACATCTTTTTCTAATTTTTTTTTTTTTTTTTCTATACATTATTGTTCGAATAAATCGTAAAGAAACAAGATGTTTCTCTTTTCACTATTACATTTAAATTTGCAGATCTGTTTGAAGAAACGTCGACGTTGATCTTGATGAATTTTCAAATGTTTCATGTCTACGCTTATACGTCTAATCTTTTATCTAAACATTATTGATAAACTAAATCTCATAGGAACGAAGTTTACGTGACTAATGATAAAAAAAAAAAAAAAAAAAATTCAATAATAAAATCCTTTTTTATTTTCATGTTTTTCACTTCAATTAAAATATAATTTACACTTACAGATTACAATAGTAATCTGTTTGTAGAATGAATGAACTTATCATCTGGTCGATAAAGGTATTAGAAATAGCATATAACGATGATATGATTCGTCATTGGTCAATAATGTGATAGATACTATAGTTTGTTCTATCACGTGCTAAGATAAACACTCTAGAGTGATAGTTCAATAATGTATTAAGATAGATACTCCGAATGATCGAATATATATATATATATATATATATATATATATAATCAGCTAAGATAAATAAATAAATACTTTGAGATTATCGAATTAAATTTATTAAGATAAATACTACAAATATTGATTTAAATAATGTATTAATATATGTATATATGTATGATGTATATATGTGTATATATATATATATACATATATATATATATATATATATATGTATGTATGTACGATAAATGATTAAATTGTTCAATTGAGAGAATCAGAAGCTTTGCCTGATGAGAATCATTACGAAATTATTTTTTTTTTTTATTCTTCGACTCCTTCGAATATTTAATATTAAACTCTTAACGAGAGATCGTTTACTTAAGTTATATACTAAGATACTCGATCTCACGTGTTTAAAGATACACAGATATTATTATCTGAATGGAAAAATAATCAAGGAAGTAATCGTTCTTTTGAATTCGCATCGAAACAAAAAGATATAGATAGATAGATAGATAAACAGACAAATCAATAGTTAGATAAATAGAAAGAGATAGTGATATATATATAGAACAGATTTACTTCGAATCAAGATGGATCTTGATCTGTTTAAAAATAAATATTATTTATAAATAAATTAAGAAGACTAATATTAGTAGATTAATTAGGAGGCTAATATCCTGAAGAAAAAAAAAGAAAAGAACAAAATGTAAATAAAAGAATCAACAATGACAAGAATAACAATAAAAACAACAATTATAATAATAATTATAATAATGATGATGATGATGATGATGATGATGATGATGATGATGTTGATGTTGATGTTGATAATAATAATAATAATGATGACGATAATGATGATGATGATGATGATGATGATGATGATAAAAGAAAAAAATTAATAAAACGAAGGCAAAGTAATATCGAAGAGAAAAGAAAAAGGAAAAAAGAAGGAAAGAAAGAAAAAAAAAAGAGAAAAAAAATAGAAAAAGAAAAAAAAATGTATTTCTCGTTCGCGCAAACATTCTCGTGCATTAAGTTTACGGTCTTTGCTGATATTCGATCGCGAACACGCTTAACTCGGCCCAGTGACCCGAATAACCCGTGGTTTGCTTATGATTCAAGCGGTTTCCATCTTTCTCCTCTTCTCTTCTCTTCTCTCATCTCTGTCAAGCCTGCGGGCGAGGAGGCACCGCTTTTCGTTTGCACCGCTCGTTATTTCGCACGGCTTGCTCGACGTCGACGAAGCTTGTGTCCCCCCTCTCTCTCTCTCTCTCTCTCTCTCTTTCTCTCTCTTTCTCTTTCTCTGTCTGTCTCTCTTTTTCCTTTTCTTTTTCTTTCTTTGGCTCTCTCACTCTTTGGGTTAGCAGCTCCCGTTAATTATACGAGCGTACATCTCGCTCGTTGCCGGACCCCAGAAAAATGTCAGTAGGCCCTGGTTTCGACGACGAATCATTAATCACTACGATCATGCCAGTCGTCGAACCGATCTAATTATCCTCATTCTGGACCTCCCTCTTAAATTTTTTTTATGTTTTATCTTAGTACTATTATATCATGCGATAGTTTGGTTCCGGTCGCCGATCGAACGAAATTTTAACGTTCAATATGTATATATATATATATACGAGGTGTCCAAAATGTATCGGAACAAACTTGTACAATATTATTATTTATTAAATTAAAAATTTATTAAATTACTGAGATCAAATGGATTGAGAAAAAAGTTCATATTAACATTTGTTTTCAATAATGCTATTTATGGGAACATTCACACAAAAAATCCCATATGATTTATAAAAATATGATAAAAACGGTGGATGCACTTATGGGAGTGTATTCAAAATATATTTATCATTATTTCTAATGTTAATTGAAATATTTGAATATTTTAATTCAGGCAATTATTAATTCGACGAATGAGGAAAAAGCCTGAATTCTTGTAGGAAGAAGGAATTTTCGAAAATTTCTTATAATTGGCACAATAAAATATAAATATCTTTTAAAAGGATATATCTTTTTGTTGAAACATTTTCGGCCATATGTTTATATAAATATTTTTCATTCATTTGATCTCATTATAATACGTAGTATAAATTTCGTTCTATACTTTTTGGACATCCTGTATATTCGTGCAATAGATATTTTTTCTACATTTCTTACGCAATCTACATTTTATTATTCTTGTGCAATAGATACTTTTCCATTAGATATTTATTCGATTGGTATTTGCATTAATTAATGATATAATTATTTTGCAAAGATAAAAATGATCGATATTATGGTATGCACATATGATAATATTTTTTCATCGGTTTGTAAATAATTAAACTTCTACGGTTGCGTAATTTGTATTACCTATTTGATATTTCATCATACGTATTAACTATATATATATATATATATATATATATATATATATATATATATATATATATATATATATATTATACATTCTTTATTATTTACTTAATAATAAATTTTTAATAATAAATTGAAATTATGTTCGTCAGGTATTGTCGTGGCTTTGCAAGAAAGGGGAGGACGTATTGTCAAAACACGCACAGCACTCGGCGACAACGCTAACGGCAGCACGTCATCACGAGAGAGAATTCGAAAAGTTTTATTTTACGTCGATGGTGAGTACAATTTCGGTAAAATATTTCTGGCAAGAGATTCCAATCGTTCTGAGGGCTCGTTAATGGAAACGAAAGGTAGGATAAACCTTCGGGGGGGCCTTCGAAGTCACCCTTCTTCTCTTTCTCTTTCTTTTCGTTCTCTCTCTCTTTCTCTCTCTCTCTTCTCTCTCTTCTCTCTCTCTCTCTCTAAGAGAGAGAAGACGAGATTTCACTTTTTTCACGTCCCATTGAGCCGCTCGTCACGCTTCGATACGAAAGAAATTTCGCTGCTGAGCGAGAAGCAATGATGAGAGGGAAGAAAAGAGATAAAGAGAGAAAGAAAGAGAAGGAGAAAGAAAGAAAGAGATTGCTTGCTTGCAATAACTTCGAAATAATAAAGGAATCCATTGTGTCGAAGAGAGCACCTTCCCCACCCCCGCCCCTTTGCCAAGAATCACGCTGAGTTTGAGGGACTTGTCCCTCTTGTCTTTTCTCTCCGTTAGCCGCAACCTCGAGAAAGAGAAAGAGAGAGAGAAAGAAAGAGAGTGAGAAAGGAGGAAAAAAGGAAAGAGAAAAGGAGAGAGAGAGAGAGAGAGAGAGTGATGAAAAAGGGACGATAAAAAAGGAAAGAAAAAAAAAGGGACTTTCGTTGTGCGACTTTAAAGAATCTTTTAAAGGATATTACGACCGACCTTTTTTTTTTTTAAAGTGATAGAGAGAGAAAGAGAGAGAGAGAGAGTCCTCCGAAAGAGGGAAAAAATGGATATAAAAAGAAAACAAAAAGGAAAGATTGATAGATATTTAGAAATTAGAAGCGAACTTTTAGAATGTGTTTTTGATTTACAAAAGAGGGATATCGTTTTTCTTTTAATTGTAAATTTTAATTGTAAATTTTTATTGTAATTGTTATCTTGTAATTGTAAATTTTAAAAGGAATGATATTAATTCTTTTAAAATTATGTTATATATGTTCGCGAACGTAACAAATCGTTTCTACGTTATTGAGAATTTGCTTACCGAGTTATCGGCGTTACAGGAACACTATATTACCGACGTATCTAATACGGATTAGAACTCGGTCGGTAATAAGATTCTTTTTCTTTTCTTTTCTTATTTTCGCATTACCTTTCTCTCTCTCTCTCTCTCTCTCTCTCTCTCTTCATTATTACAGGATATAATAAAATGTTTCCAATTTATGAATTATTCACAAGGTTCTTCCATATATTCTTATGGTCATAATGGAAAAAATGTTTGGTCGTAAAACCGATCATCGATCGATTTCCGCTCGATCGGTAAGTCGATCGGGGAGAGATCGTTCGTGTGCTGCCATCTAAGAACTCTCGATTCAACTACTTACTAAACTCATCGGATAATATCGACTCTAAGAAAATTGAAACGAACGGTAGGAGTTATAGTAGTTACGTTAATGATAGCCATTATTTTGTCCCTGGCGAATCCAGGCTGTTTAATTGAGCCTCAATGGAATCTCATCGATCTTTTGTAATAGCTGCGATCGAATCGCAGCCATTAATTTAAAGAGTCCGATTCCGAGTGAAGTTCTGTAATTAGAGGCGTATACGTCGGAGAAACTCGTGGTAATCGCGATAGAGAGTAGTCGATTAACGCGTTTCGGATCGCTAAGCGAAACTTGTTTCCTTCGTTGAATTACCAAAGTGAATACCAATGTCTCTTCTTATCAATCAATGGTACGACTCTGTGTCCGTTTCCTTTGTTCGATAAGATATCGGTAACGGTACGTACCGATATTCACCAACTTATCGAACTTCTTTCTCTTTGATCGTATAACACTGACAATTAGTAGAAACTCATTGTAATGGATTTTTTTCTCTCTTCTTTTTTTTTTCTTTTCTTACGATCCTTTCTACTTCTATTTTCAAATGGATGGATATCTTTTTTTCTTATTTTTTTTTTTGTATAACGTGTATCTTATCAATTAAATTCTAAGAAGAAATTTATGTATTTATATATGTACGTATATATAAGAAGCTAGATTTTTGTTTTTTTTTTAATTTGTACGATCAATTATTTTGTATTGTCAATGAAAATAAAATTATTATTATTCCGAACGATTGAATATAATAAGAAATTATTATCATCAATTCTTTTTAATGCTTAATACGATTAATATAATATTGTAATAATAGAGTATAATATAGGTATAAATAATATTAAATGAGGTATGAAGAATTTATACTTAAATCGCTTGGAAACTTTCTTATGTGCACGATTAAATGAATTTAATCGAAATATTTAATTATCGATGAAAATAAAATTACGATAGATATATAGAAGAAAAAGTATCTAACGATAATATCCATGGAAATTTTTACGATGTCTTTAATTATTTTTTAAACAATAAATAATGCTGAATAAAATATAAGAAAATCGTATCGAAGTGATTTAAAAAAAAATTTTTTTTTTATGCACAAAAATAAATGAATTAAAACGAAATGTTTAATTGTCAATTAAAATGACGTTAAATTATAAAATCGTATGAGAAAAGAAAATAATTATTATTAAATTATAGGAAACTTTAATGATCTATATTTTTGCTTAAGCAATAGATTAACGATGTTACACGATCTATATTACTCGATGAAATGCGTGAGAAATTCATTTGGAAATTAGTTAAAAAATTTGACATATAATGCACACGTACATATAAATACACGTAAGAAATATATGCGAAAAGTTTGCTACAATAGAAACCGACATTCCATCGGGAATTTTTTTTTTTCCTTTTCCTTTACCATATAATCGAACTTTCTCCTGTTATCCATGCTTTTGCTCGACGAGTTCACACTGACGTTATGGTGAAACGTCGAGAGGAAGACGTTCGTTATAGAGAATCGATCGACATTTACTATCATAATAATGATCGGTGATTGAGATTATTTAAAAAGTTAACCGAGTGAACGGTACTTACTTTTATCCGATGAATTTTAATTAATCACGTTCGGCTCACTTCGATTGAAGTCTTAACATTTTCATTTTTTTTTCTTCTTCTTTTTCTTTTTTTTTTTTTTTTTTTTACATCTTTCCACTTTTCTTTTCCCATATTACAGCTCATTAAGTCAATTCATGATGTTATCATAATCGTTATCGATAATTTTATTACAACGATAAGCGATGTAAAATTATCTGCGTTGGAAATAGTCTTTTCCTTTTCTTTTTTCTTTTTTTTTTTTTTCGAAATAATTACCCATAAGATGTTGCCACTAAACAATGTGTCTTATAATAGTTTTATTTAAATTCGCAAAAAAAATTTCACTCGTTCACTCGATCACGATAATGACACGTTGAAAAAAGGAGACACTTTTTTACCGTTTCCTTTCCTTTCTTTTCTTTTTTCTTTTCTTTTTTTTTTCTTTTTTCTGAAAACGTTCGAGTAGTGTAAACGAGTACATCGTAGTAGTTAGGCATATACCTTGACCCAATTGCTATCTTTATTGAGAGAACAGAAGTAGTAGCAGTAGTAGTAGTAGTAGTAGTAGTAGTAGTAGTAGTAGTAGAAGATGAAGAAGAAGAAGAAGGAGATAATGTGGAAAGTGATCGAATCCTTTAAAGTACAAAACGGTGTTGTTCGTCCATTTTTTTTACCTTGTCCTTTTTCCTTTTTTTTTTTGTTTTTTTTGTTTTTTTTCTTTTAAACCAATCTCAGAAAATCGTCAAGGCATCGTTACGCTCGAGAAGCCGAAATACTTTGTTACGTTAATGCGTATTTAGTTACTTAAATGCGTTCCTCGTTCCGGTAACCCAATTATCCAGGACGAGTCCAAAATGGTAAGGAAATCACGTGTTGAATAAGAACGAGAAGGTGTCGTTTGACTTTATAGATGCCGAATAGCTGACGCATTGGGATGACCGTAAAATCACGCACAGGAAATCACGCGTTGCTTATGAAAGTCCATCGTACTTACGTACATATATATTACCATCGAACGAATTAATACACGCGCACTTTTTTTTTTAAATCGATATATACCGATGGATGACAAAAAAAAAATAAATAAATAAAAAACAATTCATTTTTATCTAGAAGAAAAAAAAATCGAAAAAGAAAAGAAAATAGTTTATATCTGTTAATAGATCAATTAGATAATATTAAATCAACGAAATATTCCCTTTATCTATGAATACGATAAATAAGTATATAATATTAGATTAGTCGATAGATAATTTTTTTCTTCTTCTTTTTCTTTTTTTTTCGTTTTTTTTCTCGCTGTACATATCCATTGATAAAAACGGATAGATTAATAATATTTAATCTATGACGTACGTGTATAATACGAATAATTTTTCAATCGTTGATGAATAATCTTAAAAAGGGTGAAGAGTGATGGATCGATAAGGGTAAATAAATAAAGAAAAAAAGTCCGATTATCTCGAAACTTCCCGTCGTTAAGTTTAGTTCGTCTCTCTCTCTCTCTCTCTCTCTCTCTCTCTCTCTCTCTCTCTGTATCGTAAAATTTCATAAGGCAAATGATTATTGCCAAATAACGAAAAGTAAACGATCCTTGATAAGAGAAAAAAAAAATAAAAGAAAGAAAAAAGAAGAGAAGGAGGGGAAAAAAAAATAAGAAAAAAAGAAAAGATACATTACGCAAAATTTAGAAACTTTCGCTTTTGTTTATCTTAAGGAACATCGTATTAATAATATCCTTTAAAATAAGGATAACGAATAGATATGGTTACGTCCGGTTACGGCTGAGGTTTCCTCGATGCCATCTCGGCTTCGTGTTTGACGCGTGTCATGAATTATGATCGGGAAATCATTTCAAAATAGCGCTTGCAAAACTATGACGGGTCTCGTTCGACAAGAGATTGTTATGCTCGTTGACTCGATGCACACATACATATGTACATTAATATATATATACATACACGTTGATACTTGTATCATATGATGGTAGTGATAGAAATAGTGGGTGGTGGAGGAGGGCAAGGGGTAAACATGGACACGACTTTCCATTATAATCGTTCGTTCGACGATAACTCGA